GGGCGAGCCGTTTGCGGGTGATCTTCGCGTCGTGCAGGTCGTCCGCGGCGGCGTGGAGGGTGCGGAGGGCGCCCAGGGCGACCCGCTGCCAGCGCGGGAGCGGCCCGATCGGCCCCAGCGCGAAGGACGGCGCCGGGAGCTTCGGTTTGCCCCCCCGCAGCAGATGCGCCGCGACGTCGCACTCCGCCGGGGAGCTCGGCAGCCCGGGCGCGTGAAAGCTGGCGGACATCTCGACTCGCGGCCGCCCAGGTCGACCGAGTCGATTGCGTGTTATAGGAAAGGAAAAGAAGAGCAAAAAAGACCGGGGCTTAGGAAGCCAAAAGAGCCTTGCCCTTCGTGGTTTATATAGAATAAAGCTAAGAGAAAAATAAGAACGTAAGAACAAAGGCGTTCGTTTTCACTTCCCACCTACTAAAAATCCGTCAATATGGGAGAAAAGGATGGGAATAGAGAAGGTGTTCAAAAATAGCCCCGATCGGCTGGATTGCGCAACCATGCAGAAAGCGTAGCAGGGCTACGGCGGTATTTCTTAAACGATTCCCCTTGTAGTAATTCAGCATCGCGCTCTTAATATCGATATAAATAAATATATTTATATAGATATATATATTAAGGGAGATGAAAGAAAAAAGAATGAGGCGCTGCTATTAGTTTTACAGAGTGCCCTCCGCCAAGGGAGCATTTTAAACGTTTAGAGTTTGGGCTTGCGGTGTCCGAAAGCGCACATACTCCAGGCCCTGTCCGGAAAGCATCACATCGAAGAGGACGGGCGTTAATCGCCGGACGGCGAAGCCGCTAACGCATCGAACATTCACGCGTTTCTTCGCCATCAAGGCCAAGGCGCTGGTAGTTTCATCGACCTGAATGCACATCACAGACTCCTCATTGGCGGCAAACAAATACACACAAGAAGCCCAGACGATGCCGCGCCCGGCGGTCAGGCCGGTCGAAAGCGTTGCGATAGAAACCAAAGTGTGCGCATCGTCGCCCTTGTTTGCCATTTCCGCGTGGACGTTCCATGAATAATGGACTAAATGCACCACCCCCGAATCGTGGAGAACGGCAAACCGCCATAAAAGGGCGCTCTTTTCGGTCGTTTGGAGGGCCCCCGCGGCGGCCATGGCGTTGACGGCGGAGGGCTCGAGCCGCCGCGCCGCGCA